TGGTCTGAGGTTTGTCTTCTTCAAGTGAGGTGTCATGAAGACATTCACAGGAAGATTTTCCAGACACTTTTTCGGAACCCAGATCTTCTTCATAGGCGGTCCATTCTTGCAGTTAGTACCAATGTACCTGGCAAACACTTCATCATTCTGATTCTTAAACAGTATATAGTTTGCATCAAAGGATTCATCAATGATAATGGGGTTAGCACAAGTGAAGCCAGATAAATTGGATGGATCTGCTGAAGGTTCCTTTGCAGCAACCCATGTGGTTTTGGGGTACTGCTCAGGTTTCCAGTAAGAGCCATCTGCATTTATTTTCCTTACGAACCCAACACCCTCTTTCCTAGGGTTTCGATTCAGAATCTGCTTTTTGAGGACATCACATAGTGTCTGATGCCCTTGAAGACTTTTGTACACCCCTGTTTCAAGCAATGTCTTCAACCTAGCATTCTCATCAGCAATAGCGGTGGTATCCTCAACAGAGGGGTTAGTTACTGCATCAATAGTTAAAGATATTGCAACAGCAGTAGCAGTAGAACATTCAGCAACAGAAGTAGCATTATCACGCTCAATGCATTTAAGACATGGTGGTTCAAATCCTTCCTGAGTGGGACTGATTTGTTTGGTGCGAAGTGACTCGTTTTCCATTTGAAGATCTTCATGAACCGCTCTCAATTTCTCAAGATCTTGCTTCCTTTGAAGATAATCATAGGAAAGCTTTTCATGAGTTATTGAGAGAGTTTCATGACGACTTTCAAGTTCCTGATACTTAACATGAAGATTTTTTATGTCTTTAATTAAGGATTCAGATCGAGTCATTTCAGCACCTAACAGATCATCGCTTCTGTCTAACAGTTTTTGAATGTGTTTCATAGCTTTCTGTTGTTCTGTTGCAATTTTAGCAAGTGTTTTGTAGCTAGGTTTTGAACCACAATCAGAGTCATCGTCACTAGATGTTTGATAGTGAGTAGTGCGCGTGTTTACCTTGGCACCGCGTGCCATGAAGCAGTAGGTAGAAGTGGAGCAGTCCTTGTCATTTGCATCGGTGTTGGTGATGAAGTCATTGTCTTCAGTGTTGAAGATGGACTTGGCAACGTATGTTGTAGCCAGACTAGCGACGCCTGAGTCGGATTCCTCTTCAGACTCCACATCCGCCTCTTTAGAAGCAGACTCCTCCTCTGAATCCATTTCCTTGCCAACAAACGCACGTGCCTTGCCAGATGAGCTCTTCTTGTGTGATGAAGACTTTGAGAAAGACTTGGAAGAAGACTTCGGGTATTTCTTCTTCTTCTTCTTGTCGTCAGAGTCATATTCCTTGCTCTTCTTCTTCTTTTTGTTCTCATTGTCCCACTGTGGACACTCAGAGATGAAGTAGCCAAGTTTCTTGCACTTGTGACATGTTTTCTTCTTGTAGTCATGAGCAGGAGCTTCATCATTCCTTGAACTTGATCGGGAAGATTTTCTGAAGCCTTTCTTCTTGGTGAATTTTTGGAACTTCTTGACAAGCATAGCAAGTTCCCTTCCAATGTCTTCAGGGTCATCAGAACTGCTGTCAGATTCTTCTTCAGATGAGGAGACAACTTTTGCCTTCAAGGCACGAGTTCGCCCATAGTTTGGACCGTAGATCTCTCTTTTCTCCGAAAGCTGGAACTCATGTGTGTTGAGCCTCTCAAGTATGTCAGACGGTTCGAGTGTCTTGAAATCAGGACATTCTTGAATCATCAGGGCCAGGATGTCAAACGAACTATCAAGTGATCTCAGCAGCGTCTTGACGATTTCGTGTTTGGTAATCTCAGTGGCGCCGAGGGCTTGAAGCTCATTTGTGATGTCAGTGAGTCGGTCAAATGTGTGCTGGACATTCTCATTGTCATTTCGCTTAAAGCGGTTGAAGAGATTGCGAAGAACACTAATTCTTTGATCTCTCTGGGTTGAGATGCCTTCATTGACCTTGGAGAGCCAGTCCCAGACCAGCTTGGATGTCTTCAAAGCACTCACACGGCCATATTGTCCTTTGGTCAGATGACCACAGATGATATTCTTGGCAGTAGAGTCCAGTTGAACGAATTTCTTGACATCAGCAGCAGTGACACCTTCTCCAGCCTTGGGAACGCCATTCTCGACGACATACCATAGGTCGACGTCAATGGCTTCAAGATGCATACGCATCTTATTCTTCCAGTAGGGATATTCAGTTCCATCGAAGATGGGGCACGTAGCGGAGACTTTAATTATCCCTGCAGTCGACATAGCTAAAACTCCAGGTGGTTAAACCGAATCACACAGAACAAGGGAGCACCTTGCTCTGATACCAATTGAAAGTGCGTTATATCGACTAGAGGGGGGGTGAATAGACGATTTTTATGGAAGTCTTCAAAACGTGAAGTTATGAAAACAAACAGCAGAGATATGCCTATTACTATGCAGCGGAAGGTAGACTACACTAGACAAGCCATGGTCAAGTATCAACAGAGTGAAAGCACAGTGACAAATGGCTGCAGTGTAATAAGGATCAGGTAGGAAGATATTATGAAGCCAAACAGATTATACACTCACGTTGTGAAGACAAAAGATAGAACAAACATGCAATGACTTCACAATGAGTAATCAGTAAGTAAAAGGAAGTGAAGATGAAACCAGTGACTCGTTGAAGACAATGATGTGTTGGACCAGTTCCAGTTGCTGTGACAATTGTACGTCTGGTTGAAGCGGCTAGGTATTTAAACCTTAGGACACACAGTCCCGGACACCCAGTCCTGAACACGCAGCTCAGGACACCAAGTCCTCACCGTATTCTCCTTGAGCTAAGGTCACATAGTCCTCGCCCAATCACTCTGATAAGTCTTCAAGGTAGACTCCCAAACCTTCACAGACTTCGTTCACTGGCAATACACAATGTCTCTTGGATGCTCAGAACGTGACGCCTAACCGTCTGGAGGAAACACAGTCCTCAAGTGTAATAAGTCTTCAGATCACACAGACAAGAAGACTTAAGTGATGCCCAATTCTCTCTGGCTCTAGGTGGTTAGGGCTTTATCCTCGCAAGGAATTCTCTCTCAAAGGCTTCGAGGTGGGTTGCTCTCAAACGACAAAAGCCGTACTCTCAATCTGAGCAGCCAACCATTGATGGTTGTAGGGGGTGGGCTATTTATAGCCACTTGGCAACCCGACCTGATTTGTCCGAAATGACTCTGGGTCACTAAGGAACTGACACGTGTCCCAACGGTCAGATTTCAAACTCACATGGCAACTTTACTTGGGCTACAAGCAAAGCTGACTTGTCCGGCTCTGGACAAGATTTGCTCTCATTGTCTTCACTCGAAGACATAGGTTTTGTTTTTAGACATCACTTCAGTCATTCTGACTGGTTCTCCTGGACCCCACTTAACAGTACGGTGGTTCCTATGACTCAACACATCGGAAAAAGAACTACGTAAGATCTAAGTGTTCGAGCTCCATACGCTTCATATCGTGTCTTCTCTTGTCATAGTCTTCAATGTGAATATCTTCATATACCACCTTTGACTTCAATGTCTTCATACATTTTTAGGGGTCATCTCTAGTAGTAAAACCGAAACAATGAGGGACTTCTACCTGTGTTATCCTGCAATTCTCACAAACACATTAGTCTCTCAACTAGGTTTGTCGTCAATACTCCAAAACCAACTAGGGGTGGCACTAGATGCACTTACAAACTGACTCATAAAACTCCAGCAAAAGCCTGACAACTGAATCACAAAACTTAAGCAAATGACATATCTGTAAAAACAAACATGAGCGTTGAACCCCAGCACACAACCTCATACACACACATTTCAACAACAGGAGCCTACAACATCGAGCATTGTCCCATTGCCTTGTTCAAACACAAATAGGGACATTTGCTGCATGTAAAAAAGGTGCTAGGCAACTATATGAGCAGTTGTTGGGCAAGTTAGCAGATCAACAACGTATGCACGAGAACATCTCCCTCCCTCTCCCTCCACACGCCACGACATCCTACTGAGCATCACCAAGCCTTGAATGCCCCTCGAATCCAATCTCACCAGTACCCAAACCAAACCTAGCGAGTGCTTAATCCTTTCCAAATCAGTTAACCTACGCATAATCTCTTACAAGGGCAAAGGTACTCAGTGGATCTGACAAGCCTACACAAATGGGATCGAGATGAACTGACCTGGGATTCTGCCCTCCGCCCAACAACAAGGCGATTCTGCTCCTTCGCGCGAAAAGCACGACGAAGGCGCGTGCGTCGTTCCTCCTCGGCCGCGTCTCCGGCGCTGCAGCGCCTTCCGCCCCCGACTGCTGTGTGTTGCGGGTGTAGTCGTATGGCCCCGGTCGCCGCACCGACGCGCACCTGCCCGCTTAACCCCTCCCTTCACGCCACACACGCTATCCCTTGCTCACTCCGGCGGAAGACGGCCGTCGAATTGCCGCGACGCCGTCGGCTGCTCTGAATTCGGGGGATTGGAAGAGGAAATGGGATGCGCCCCCTGCGCTCGGGAGCGGTTTTGAAATGGGGAGGAAACGAAAGTGGGGAGGGGAGAAGAACTGCAGGGACCCACGATCGCCTAAGCATCCAACGGGTTTCGACCGCGACGCCACGACCAGGAGACACCTGACGCACGCATCAATAAACGACGGTTTCACCTAGGAAGCGCGCGGCCGCGAGATATCATCGAACGGCGCGCGAGCGCGTGTGCTCTGTAAGACAAACGAGCTAGCGAGCACTTTTTAGGTTTTAGGATCAAAGAAACCTTGGTACGACAAACGGAAAAAATAATTCCTTTTCACAGGGCCAACAAACCTCATGTTGCTACATATGGACGTGTCAGGCCCGTTACACGCCGGTGCTACCACATGTAGGCTAGGAGCTGCTACTACCACCACTAGTAAGTAGTACATTATCTGCAGTGGAGAGAAAGCAATCTGAATGAACTGGAGGACGACGTCGTGCAATCCTCTCCACATGTTTTTCTCTCTTTATTTACACCGTCTGTCTACTACAACCGGAGCCACTGCTCGCCATTGATGTAGTCCCGGCCGAGGAAGGGGCGCACCTCCTCGTAGGTGAGCGCCCGCGCCCACGGCACCCGCTGCCGCGAGCTCGCCCCGGGCCCCTTGCACTTGTACTCCCCGAACATCACCGTCCTGCACGCCCATGAAACAACAAGAAAAAGCTCAGCCACACGCGTCACTCTCCCACGGATTTCCTCCATGATCAGGTGGTTGAGGTCGAGATTGAGGCGAGGGGAGCAGCACGTACTTGGTCCTGGCGCGGTCGCCCCAGTCGCTCCAGCCCTGGGGCACGACGATGCCGCCGAGGTCGCAGAAGGCGTACACCACCCGGGCGTACCTGCCCCACGCCCTGCCCAGGTACAGCATGCCGGAGCCGGTCAGCCGGCACCCCACGAACGAGAACCCCGACTCGTCCGACGCCGAGCTCCGCTGCGACGCCGCGATCGCGCCGTAGCTCGTCGCCACCGCGTGCAGCGCGCAGCCCTGCGAGTTCATGCAAAGTCGTCAGTTCCCGTTCATCGTGTCAAAGAAAAAACGTACTGTAGCAGCATGCATGCCGTGTGACGTCGCGTTCGTTGACACTTTGACTTCCGATATATTTTTCGGGCCAGTGAGACAGTCGTGCATGCCGAGATTGCAAAGAGAATGTGACCACAAAAGGTTCTAGCATAGGTTTGTGCAAGAGCATTGTGGGCATTGTTTGTGCCTAGCTACCGGATTTCCACTAATCTAGCTATCTAAGTGCTAATCAAGCTGTGCGCCACAATACATGCTAGAGAGCCTACACGTCAGACACGTCAAAAGTGAGGAAACCAAGTGTCAAACAAGTGCTTGCTGTAAGAAATGGAATGGAATGTCAGGGATTGGTGCATGCCTGAATTGTGAAATTTGTGATAGCAACCCACAGTGCAACGGCCAAGAATTATTATTCTGGTCCATGGAAGGGAGGACATGCAGATGGCAAGGCGGCAAATTCAGCATCAAAATAGTAGCCTATGGGAGCAAAATATTCTACAGTGGTATTATAAAAGCAGCGTGCACAACTAATTTTTACCTAGCAACATGGCAAATATCGTAGAGAAAATGTGCATGGTTGATACACAAGAACGTATTGAGAGCAATATCAAATCTTGGACAATCTTTCAGTACCTGGTACAGGGACCTGGCGTTCCCGAAAATGAAATCGATGGAGCCCTGGATGTCGCAGTTGTACAAGTAGTGCCTCCCGATGTTGTCGAAGAGCGTGTCCTGGGTCCCCAGTATCCTGCACCTGTACAGCATGGTCTTGTCGCCGGACAGCCGCAGCGCCACCGCCTGCATCCCCACCGCTCCCGGCGGCGCGGCCGGCGCCGAGTTCTGCACCGACCACGTACGACGCATATACACATGTCACATTTCGAAGCAAGAGGCGGCTGATCGCCGGCGATGGTCATGGGCGGAGAGGTAGAGCCGGACGTGCACCTCGAAGGTGATGTGGCTTGCGCAGAAGTAGTCGGCCTCGACGGCGAAGGAGGCGGAGTAGAAGGTGCCGACCTGGTGCCCCGTTGCATCGATGTCCGACGCCCGCGCGTTCCATGTGATCACCGTGCGCCCGGTCCCCATGCCGATCAGCGACACGAACGGCTTCGTGATCGGCACCGTCACCTTCTCCCTGCATCCATCCACCACATCCCATGCCTAGCTTGTTAGTTCAGTCCTTACACAAAAGAATTGTTCAACAAAAAGGACCCATTCTGTATTCATCCGTGCATAATAAAAATATAGTAGTACGATATTTTGCCTAATTAGAAGCAGCACACTCTACAGATTTAGTAGAGCCTGCATTGTGTAGCCTGCAGGCACTAAGATAGAAATGGGAAATTACTAGCTTCGGTAGCTGCTACCGGCAGGCAACGCACACATAGCCAGCTCTAGATGACTAGAAATGGCTGTTGAGAAGCTAGGAAGGGAGGAACACACTGTAACTTAATGGCCCCATTAACTCTTGGAGGCAGTTACTGCGAAGTCGAGATCGATTGAGGGGCAGCGGTGGTGGACTGGACGGGCGGATCGCGATCGCCTCACCTGTACACCCCGGGCCTGACGAGGATCTTGACCCGCCGCGTGTTCCCGGCGGGCACCATGTCGACGGCGCCCTGCACGGTCCGCGAGTGCCCCGTCCCGTCCTGCGACACCACGATCGTGCTCACGCCCACGCCCCCGCGGCGCGCTGCCGCCGACTTGACGTCCACCGGCGCGGCGCGGATGAGCCCCGCCACGGCCGGCATGGTCAGGTCCTCCCACGTGATGAACTCGGCGCCGGCGGCCGTCACGGCCGCCAGCAACAAGCCCAGCACCACGGCGCAGCAGGGCCGCTTGCCCGCCGCGGCGGCGGCCATGGACTCCTAGCTCTACAACGAGTGTGTAGGTCAGATCGTCACGCTGGGATCGGTGAACTGGATGGTGATCGCGCACGCGAGCTAGCACGTGGCTTGGGAGGGAGACGGCCGGACTAGGGAGCTGATCAGCTTGGCAGAGGAGATATAGAGGAGCTCGATCGATCGGTCGGTCGGTCGGAGGGGGGCCGCGTCTAGGCGTTACTGGCACCAGATGACATGATCGGAGTGATGGTGCACGCGATGATTATATGGAGGAGGAGGGAATGGGTTGGGTTGGGTTGGGACGGAATGCAAGAAGACGTTGGAGGCGCGAGGAAGTGGTGACGCCATTAAATATGGGGAGCGCCCGGCCGGCCGGTGCCAGCTCCCCTCTCCGACGCACAAATCGTGTCCACTCCGGTGCGCCGGAGCGAGAAGAAATCGATCGTCGACCAGGGAAGAAACAGGAGCTACCCCTCAAAAAAAGAAAAAAAAAGAAACAGGAGCTGACGTGACACTGTTTGTGTGCACGCTGGTTTCTCTTCACGGAAACGAGAGTGGTTCCGTATGGGAAATCTCGGGTAACCGACGCCTAAAGCGCGCGTGAGGTGTGTGGTGTTTTCGTACACCGCACGAATACCCCGTTAGCTCGCGCCACACACTACAAAAGTCGATACGTACTGGCTAGCAGGCTAGCTAGGGGTGACGATCGAAACGGCGACACACGTTGCACGTTCAGAGAAAACTGGTGTCCAGCCCAGGGAATTCGTAAGGGTTACAAGTTAAAAAAATTTGTTGCGATCATAATTGGTAGTGCATGCCGTAATGGCTGGTGTTTATTTATGTCATTTTTTCAAGATGTGGAACTGGAAAGGTTGGTCATGGCTTGTGCGCGAGGGAGTATGTAGATTTGTTTGGGGAGTTTTTGTGTTTGATTATGATCCCAGCCATGGAAGGATGAATCTGAATGGGGGTAGTTAGTAAGTGGTTAGCACAGAACGGTTGGGTCCAAGCACGATGCACGTTCCCTTTCTTTTTACTGCTGACCTAGTTTTTGTTGCAGTTAACTGCTTTGGCTTTAGATTGTCCAGAAATGTTCCGAAACTGCATGCTGCTTCAGAGTTCAGACGAGAATGATTGAAAACTTATAATAACCTACGAGTCGATATTAGTTTCTCCTGCTAATGCTTTCTTCAAAGAGACTCGAGAAGGCTGCTTGTTAGCAACCTAACAATATCTTCTCTCGATCTAGTACTCTTCTCACGAATTCGTGTAGCAATTTAGGGATTACAATCACAGGATACAAGAATTGGGGAAGGAGGAGGAAGGGGAAGAAGATAGCCGCCGCCGCCGGGTTTCGTGATCCATTGGATGCCGTGCTCGTTGCCTGCTTCCGAGTACTTGTAGGCTGTTGCCGAGTGGTGAGCATAGACGGGCCCGGCCCATGAGCTATCAAAGGGGAAAGCCCAGGTATGAGTATGGGCCAGGGGAGGTCCCTAACATCTCTCCCTTCTTGAAATGCGGCTTGCCCCCAAACCGCTATCACGAAGATTTTGCCAGGATCCCATGGTGCTTGGAGATCCTTAATCATGCCGGAATCCCCATGGTAGTTGTCGCGGTAGCAGCCATGGTCGAGATGGACTTGAACAAGCTCGGAAAGTTGTCGGGCTTGAGGTAGTAGTAGTCGTGGCCGACAGAGACCCGATTGAAGTTGGTGTTGTGGTTGATGACCTTGGAGGGAAATGCGACGGAGAAGTAGCCATCACAGTCGAAGCCGATGTAGTGCCTGTAGCCGAAGCAGCCTTGCGTGAATACGTCGGCAAATGCAATGACACCCCTCCCTTCTTGAAAATGATCCTGATTGTAGCATGTAGAGGATGCCATACAGCTCATGTCCTGTGATCTCTTGCTGAGTATTTCGTCGGCAGGGTAGTTGACCGAAAGAACAACCGGAGCCTTGGTAAGATCAAAGGAGCAATCACAGAATAAAGAGTACCATCCTGGATCTCCCTCACTTGCAGCATGTATGTGTTCATGCTTGCATGCATCTGCATCAAGTTCAGGAAATGACAAATGTTGCTCCCCCAACCAAAAACCAATGGATGTATGAAGAAACCCAGGAGCAGCCGAACTATTACACCCCAGCACTCGCAGTCTATACAGGTTTGGAGATGTGAGAAAGGCCATATTGACATTGCAGCGAGACTGCCAACTCCTCTGACCAAGTATCTTCTCGTTAGTTCCAGCAGCAGAAGGCCATAACTTCACACATTCATTAAAGTAGTGTTGATGACTGGAGTTCCCAGAGGTCTTGACTGCACTTGAATTCCTAAATGCTGCCATTTTTCCAACAAGGAATTTTGTATATGGAAATAAATGCCAGTTAAACAGCAACAACAGCAGTGTCGTACTAGTGCTCATGTATACATGATGTACTCCAAATTCAGAATCTTCCTGTGAGTGCCCTATGCAGCAAGGATAAAATTGTATGCCCTTGTAGTTCACTAGCTCCCAGTGAATTGCTTCTGGCCCAAAACAGCTAAGATAACTTGCATGTGTAGAAAGTTTTCCGAGATACAATGTTTCCTGCACCACCATTTGGCTGCAACATTTTTGACTTAAGTGTTTAAATTCAGATGTTGCCTGATCCAGTATACGCCAAGACTGCCACTGTGTACCATATTGTTCAGAACTGCATTCTAGAGCAAAACAACCACTGAAATTGTACCACCGTTGCCATGTATTGTACACACAAGCTCCAATATGAAATAGTTTCTTTGGATTAGATCTGCTAGTCAAGCCAATGCCACACACTTGGACAGACAAAAACCGATGTGCCCTGAATGTCCAGGTATGAAGGTCATGAACAGAAGCAATCACCGAGAAGTTCCAATGGACAACACTAGAACAGCAGACTTTTGATGGCAAACCGATTGCAAACGGCGGCCATGGAATGGGTCGGGTTTCCATTCCCTCTGCAATAAGAGCTGCCCAATATGATGGCCACGACATCGGCTGTAGCAGCAGCCCCTGGTGCCTTGTACGCGGCGAAACGTCCAAATCATGGCTCAGGAATGGCTGCTTTGAATCGACAGCTGAGAATATCAGAGATAGAGTGGTGAGGAGCTCGTCCTCCATGGCCACAATATGAACGACAAGCCTCCAGGGTAGCATAGGCTTCCTCATCAACTCATGGCTAGAGAAGACTATACAGGACACATGAATAGTAGGAGCAAATGACTGTACAAAAGAGATCACTGACCACCACTCCACAACGCCCCAATTCACCTCACCCAGTGATTGGATTATCTGCTGATTCCGAAGGGGAATTGCTTTTGGCAGCATAGGGGTCCAACCAGCAAGCTTCTCATAGGGACAAGATTTCAGTCGCACACTTGGTAGATACCTCCAGTATTCTCTCAAAAAATTCAAAGTAACCGGCAAACGCTGCACCACATAAGTAACTTGCAACAATAGCCCTTCATAATTCAGAGTCGTGCCTTCAAGAGAACCAGCAAACGACGGCCACGGCACGGGCCTTACATCATTGCCGTCAGCAAAATGCATCTGAAATGATGGCCACGGAGTCGGTCGTATCAGGAGCCCCTCGTGCCTTGTGGGAAACGGGACGTCCCTGTCCTGGTTCAGAAACGACTGCGTTGAATCTACAATTGAGAACGACAGAGGAGATAGACTGGTCAGGAGCTCGTCTTCCATGTCCAGGGGCACCCGCCGGTTAGAACCATCGTTGGTAGCAGGGTGAATGAGGTCGGCGACAAGCACAAGTGTGGTTGCTGGGGGTAGCAACGTCGTCATGACTGGAGGCAAGAATGACATGGCACTGAATTTTTTCGAGCATTCTGTCGAACAGGTCATGAGCGTCGTAGCGATGTAATCAGAAGACACATGATGGAGGATCTCCTCAGCCGGTCCAGTTGACGAGGAAACGTCGAGAAGGACAGCAGGCTCGGTGGAGACTTCTGGAGAGGACGCCACCAGTGGAGGTGCGGGAGTAGTGAACTTGCCGCCGATGTTGATGCTAACAGCCTGAATTGCTGTTGCCACCACCTGGTTCTCCTCCTGAATTTCCACTCCGTTCGTTCGAAGGGTGGCTATGGCGTTGTTGGTGCCGATCGCGGGATTGGGGTCGAATGCGGTGGCGGTGCAGTGGACCTCCTCGGCGATGGTGGGTGGAGCAGCCGTGGTTGCGCGGTCGGTGTGAGACGCGACCAGGGCAGAGGTTGAGGTAGCCGAAGCAGTAGCAGGGGAGGCAACCGGATTGACACGCGAGGTGGCCTCTGCCGGATCGCCCGCGCCCACGCGTGCAGCCGCGAGCTCGGACTTGATACTATCCATCTGTGCCGATAGATGCTTGAGAAACCACAACATCTGCTCATCTGCGGTCATGGCATCCCACTCTGATGGATAGACGAGGGAACGAGGAGCCTTCTCCGGATCGGACATGGTGCTGTCGCCGGTTGAAATTGGGGAATCGAGGGAGGTGGTGGTGGGTGAAATTTACTGGCTCTGAATACCAGATGTTAGCAACCTAACAATATCTTCTCTCGATCTAGTACTCTTCTCACGAATTCGTGTAGCAATTTAGGGATTACAATCACAGGATACAAGAATTGGGGAAGGAGGAGGAAGGGGAAGAAGATAGCCGCCGCCGCCGGGTTTCGTGATCCATTGGATGCCGTGCTCGTTGCCTGCTTCCGAGTACTTGTAGGCTGTTGCCGAGTGGTGAGCATAGACGGGCCCGGCCCATGAGCTATCAAAGGGGAAAGCCCAGGTATGAGTATGGGCCAGGGGAGGTCCCTAACACTGCTACTAGTGGTTTAGGCCAGTGAGCATTTACGCGCCAAGACTGACGGACCTAACATCGTTGAAACTGTTTTAAAACATTGTTAGAGTTTGCAAAGTGGTCAACTTGGCAGGTGTCTGTTGACGATAAAGCAATCCTAGATTGCTCAGGCCTCAGAACATGTCAAGTTCTCGTTGGGATGACAACGTTCTTGTTCCTCCAAGAGGACCAGGCGGCAATTTCATTCCGTTGAGAATGTTCACAACTTTGCAACTCGAGCCGCCACATGTAACACCAAGAATGCAATAGCACCTCTCGTCAACAGTTTTGCTTCATCATGGTTCTGCTTTACTATGGTACCGCAGAAAGCCGTAATTTTGAATCCGCTGGCAAGTGTAGAAAGAACAGCAGAGCTTCGGAAATTGAATTGTTGCAACATTCGTACACACTTTGCGGGTGACCTTTGAATGAAAAACGGGACGGCGAATTTTGCATGAATCTAATTTTCTACTCTAGAATGAAGATCTGTTAGCTAGAAATACACTGAAGCAAGTGGCCTGGGTTATAGCTGAAGGCAAATTGATGACCACATGCTTGATGCTTCATCCTTTCGTCATCTTGTATCTATAGATTACGCCTAAGTACACTTCCTGTTCACTAATATGAAAACGTCTTACATCAGTGAACGGAGGTAGTATGAAACATGAGACCAACACATCACCTCATTTTTCTCCTCCTAGTTTAAGTTTGATCAGGTGGACATGGATGAACTTAAGAGCCACCCAATGGATCATACAATCAAGATTCTAGAACAACAGATCTCTAAAGAAGAAGATGAATATACATGAGCAGAAATAATCTCCAAACACAAAATTCACCAGTATGAATTGGAGGTCTCTCTGCCACTGTCTGGATGAAAGATCAGCTGGCATCCTGCCGAAGGCTACTCGATGAAGGTGTCCAAGTGTCATAGCAGTCATCTGCCATCGCTGAAGAGGCATGTTATAACTTATAGATGGTGCTGATGAAGAACCTAACGAGGACATGGCTGAAGGCGGTCTTTTCATTGAAGGTTTAGTCATGTAGGGTTCTAGGGAAAATTATGATGATGTTAGCCTGATGTAATAACTTTCCCTTTTCCACGATTCAGTTTCGTATTCCAGATTAATACAACTTTACATCTTCTATTTTCCATTCTCTACCAACTCCTTTCTATTCTTCAATTTTTCAGTTCCAAACTGATCCGGGCTATATCAACCTGATTACAGAAGTTACTAAGTGAATATCCCATCCCAATTATGTTCAACGTCCAGCTGCATCTACAATCTCGATTCATGTATTCAAACCTTTTGACTTCCGTGTTTTGTCCGTGTAGGTTTGCACATACAGAAATACTACATATGCTTGTTTAGGCAGCCTGCAAAGTTATCACATTACCAGACGAAAAGTCTATAATCCTACCCTTAGTTGATTCTGCATGATTGAACTTATCAGGTAACCACTTAAGTTATAGCCTGCAAGTTTGGACTCATGACTCATCTTGTCCATGCAATACTACACAGACTGAGTCCGTTTATGAACCGCTACGGAGAAACGAGGAAATCCAACATCAGCACACAGGATAAGAAACGAAGTTGATTCCTGTCACCATGATATAAAAATACTGGCAGTCATTTGAGTTGAATGGACCTTCTCAAATTAATGCACATTGCATATAACCACATGCGCAAAGGGTATGTTGATGCACAATGATTCTTATTTTGGGGAGAGCAAAACCAGCACACAAATGATTTAAGTGTCCAAATTTCTAGTAGTGATGTTCCTTCTCGATATGTGCAGAAAATACATAAATAGAGATATTCTCATCTGGCTACTAAGAATGCCAAAGTACTTCTTACGAGGGAGATGAGGATCAGTCTGCTTCATGAAGGTGCAAGTTAACTTTGCATACTGCAGAAAGGTGTAGCTTTTGCATCGACTGACAAGCCAGATGAAAGACCACGGAGAGAAGTTGAAATGCTGCGATGACCACAGTTAGCAAGTGATCTTCTCTTGAAATGATCTTCGTAAAAAAGATCTTCTCTTGAAATGGGACGAGAAATTTTGCATGACCCATCTACTCATTCACCTTGGAGGCTTGGACCTGCACTTCTCCAAATGTTTACAGTGTACTGTTTCTACAAAGAAAGATAGGGAAGAAATGATTGGAAACTGAGAAAGTCAGCATACATCCTCCTGTTTAGATACTCATAGTAACCAGTTAGTTAAACCAGATTGCCAGCTCACAAGTTTGTGACGAGTGATTGATGATGCCTCCAAACAAGTAAGGTTGCACGGAACTGATAGTTCTAGTTCTAGTGAGTGATGCACTAAAGTAAATAAAATCGGATGGTAACTGAAATGGGACAGTGCTGTACCAGTAGTCCAGTACACCATGATAATATAGCTAGAGGAAAAACGACTGCCACATGTTTCATCCTCTAGACCTCTACCATCTTATAATATTTGTGTACTAAAGTGGAGCACAAAAACTGATGCAAGAGAAAGACACATCTCCTCAAGTTACAACCAGGTTCAGATCCAGTGGGCTTGGATGCACCTATGAAATGACTCGTTAGACCATACAATCAAGATTTCAGAACCTGCTGCAAATCTTCATGGAAAGTTAAAACTACATACAAGTATATTTAGTCTCAGTTGACGTGCTTATTTCTGGTAAGCAGTATTAGTATTCGACTTGGAGTCACGAATGCTAATACTCCTTAACAATTTCAAAGTCCTTCGGATGGAGACAAAAACAACTGTAATCCAGCATTAAAGACTGGGCCCAATCCTTGTGGTGCTCTAATGTTGAGTACACAAGAAAACCAACATTCCAAATTGGCAGTAGGGAAAAAAAATACAAAATCGGAATGACCTTCGAGCACAATATTCACCTGCCAGAACTGCTGATAACTACTCCCTCTGTAAACTAATATAAGAGCATTTAGAACACTACTTTAGTGATCTAAACGCTCTTATATTAGTTTACAGAGGGAGTAGAAGATACCATGCATGGTGTTTCGATTTATTTAATGAAATTACACATGGCACCTAGTCTAACATCCCATATATGCATAATTATTTGCACATCATTTTTCATATGATCTTCCTACACTTCACCCACTACTGAATGCTCTCTCAGAGTTGAGAAGTTGCAGACTACAATCAATAATCTAACCAGTGAGCACATAATTGGAGTAGCAATCGCAGCCCTCATTGTGTAATCCATCTCAGTTTTGGTCTCGGCTGTAGCAATGAACTTAAGAAAGGTAAAGGCAGCGCTGCAGAATCCAACAATTTGATTTACTTGCTTCATCAACTTACAAACATATACTAATAAATGATACTGGATAGCTGCTTCAGAGATGATAATCGCACTTGTGGCCACAAAATTGCTTGGTAGGTAAAGCAAACATAACGATTCGATTGGCTAACTCAAACAAGAGGAAACAATATTTTCATGGGGAAACAAAGTTAACAAAAGGATCAATTCACTCATACCTAATTATTATTACGTGCCTGCTCAAGCTCAGGCCTGTGAATTGCCATGCGAGCAATCTCCGATACAGCTGCGTCACTTGCAGGTGTATCATCACCAGCAAGCTCCTCATATGCAGCCTCAAATGCTTCTTGCCAGAACCGTGGAAGCCATACATGATCACCAGTGCGCGTGTACAAGTCCCACATCCGGCGCACTAGTTTCTCCCTTTCCTCCATCTCCTACTCAATTCATAAGTAGGCATACTTCAGTACTCACTAGAAAAAAACATAAACCCAGAAGTAGTTCTAGTTTCATTTGCTTGAACTTTACACTGGCCTACCGCCGGTAACAATATCAAGATTGAAACACTACTTAAATGATTATCACAAGTCAGCACGTTGCCATAACCCAAACCAAGAACAAGGAAGACGGTTCTTCATACATGTAATATACCAGCTAAAACATTTCTTCATAAAAATCGATATCAAGGTATCACCGTAACATCATGGTTTCAGGTTTTCAGCATAAAGCATAGCACTTCCACAGCATAAAACTGAACATTCAGAAACTGAAAAGATGCATATGTATGGCTGAAATCCCCATATGTCTAGATAATTAATTCGTCGTGCAAAGCTTGATTACTATCAGGATTCCAGGTATACTCATATGTTTGTTGAAATGAGTAAGTGTATCACCCAATATCGAAAAAGAAGTAAGTGTACCACCCATTTCATTCTTATTCTGAAAACTTAGAGGTAACCAACTAACCATCACCTTAAAAAAATTCGCAATGTCAAATATTTGATGTTTCTAAGAACAGATACATGTTTGAGGTCAGGATTTATGAACAGAACAACTGAACAAGCACCAATGTAGGGCAAGATCTGAGAGGAAATGTGTGTAGAGGGGCCGTACGAGCGGGTCGAGGTCGTCGAGGAGGGGACTACTCAAGTCCCAGGGGACGGCGGCAAGGTCGCCGGAGGACCAGCGGAGGGTGACGGAGGCGGCGAACATGGACCAGAGCGCGAGGAGAGCGATGGCGACGAGGGCCCACGCCTTGTACCGCCCCTTCCCGAGCAGCGCCGCCTCCGCGCCCCCGCCGGCGGAGACGGGAATGGAGATCTTAGTCGCCGGCGTCGGCGAGGGTGGACGGACGCCGTGGTACTGGTGGCTGGCGACGGCCTTCATTGCTCTACTCCGGCCGGTCCTGAACCTCGAAAGACGGGAGTGGAGTGGCGGGTAGGATCGTAGGGGTGTGTGCGTGTCGTCAGTGAAGAAACAATCAATTGTTCTCTTGCTCGCTTGAAATTTTGGTGAAAAAGTGCAACTTTTGTAAATCCTATAGCAGTTTGGTTTAAATAGTACACCCTCTGTTCCTAAATATAAAGACGGTAGGAAAGGCTTCGTCGACGGCAAATCACTTGGTTTTTTCACGAATACGCAATGCTTATGTATCTTTTTATTGATGCAAGAAAATAGAATGAGTACGAGGGTACAACGCATGGCACGAACACAAGATGACATGAACACGGTGCCTAGAGTAGAGAGACACAGGGTGCTCAACCTGAACAAGTAAACAACACGGCTAAACCCTTGGCTTAAGAGGCAATCTGAACCAAACATGACATCCGACAAATCCAGCACCGGGAACACTGCGAATAGACAAGAGCACACCTTCAAAAAGGATAATGATTTTGTGGTGGCATCGCTGTTCGATCCGAAGAATCAGACCTAGGGTTTTCGATAGTGCTCGAAGAGGGGGCAGAGAGGAGGCCATGGTAACGCCTCCAACGAGGGGACGACACTCATCGGTGTCACCGCTGCCAACACTAGCAAGTTGAGCGGGGTTTTCCCCTGGCCTTGGTTGAAAACAAGGAATCAGAGGTCAAGACGTTGGTCGAAAACCATCACCACAAGAATGGGAGCCACGCCGGACACACGAGCCTTGAACATGACGGGAGGACAAAGCATCGAGGAGGCCGGGTTATGGAGGTGGCAGGGCGGAGGGGGCGGCGTAGGGGATGAGATGGCAATCTACGAAGCCGACGAGCCAGGAACTAGTGGGGACGCAGTTCCGGGCCATTGGGGCCGGGACCGCCAAGCTACTGACAAGCCAATGAGGCTAGAGGAGATGAAACCTCCAGAGCGTCGCGATCGTTGCCGCGCCGAAAGAGACACCGTCAATCCATGGACATTGGAGAACACATGACAAGGGCCTCAGGGGCCGGAGCTGCACCGACAGGACGTCCACTGTGAGGGCACAAGTGCCCGTCGAATGCCAGAACTACGCGTTGCCAGGGGCAGCCGTCGCTGAGGAGACACCAAGGAAAACTCACGAAAAGCCAGAATCGTGGAGCCATGGCCGGCATATCAGAGGAGAAAGGACGCCGCTGTGGCACCACCAAGGGCGGCCCGAGCAAGGGCCATCCCGGGATATATTCACCAAGGCGCTACCAATATTGTCATTTTACTTGTGTAAGTGCAATCTCAAGCTTCTAAAGACGGTTGGGGTTCTTAAAATAGGCTTTCGTCCCGCTTTATAAATAAAACAAACATCCATACAACCAGATTCAGAGTAACAAACAACTAATATTGCTGGGGTAGCAACACAATCACGCTCAAAGAAAGCATAAAAGAAATTAGAGAAAAAACACCTAGTGCCAGTAGGCACAACGACACTATGGAGAGGAGAGGCGACACATGGTAGTCAGAAGCATATCCAACATGAGTCCAAGTCGGTCGCGGTCCCGCCGTCTAGATAACAGATGCGAGTACGGGAAAGCAAGGAATTTGAAGAACAGGTTAGAGGGCCTGCCTCTCAATCACCATCTTATTATGCGTCGTCTATAAAGTCCACGACATCGCCGCAAATATGAGCCGAAATAGGTGAAGTTGTTGCTCGGTCTAGTTAGTCATGGTTTCTAGGAACTCCGCAAGGTCTAGGGCCTCCAATTAGGCCCCAACGCCTTGCTGGACGAAACTCCAAAGGGCACGCGCATGCACTGCACGCGAACAAAATGTGGGCCCTAGTCTTCGGGACATCACCAAGGCGGTAGAGATTGAGGGACGGTGATATAATAGTGTGTATAGCAAATTTGTAACCTTGGTTAGCTAGCTAGCTAAGATTGGATTAGTCCTTATCTAACTCAAACTGATCAGGTTGTTCACCCCGATTTGGTTGTTGTAACCGTGTATTCTTGGCTATGTAGATGGAGATAAGTTGGCCTTTGAGACTTGAGAGATGCCCATTTCGGCTCAAATCACAAATGTCGAACTTCACATTTCCTTCAACCTGCAGAGGAGGAAGTATATGAATCGGAGATTCTGCCACGCATATCAAGAAGGTTAGAAGGGTACTGTGCTGGATTCCTACTGTCCACGTACGGTGCAGGTGCAGGTAAAGTTGCAGTTGCAGCGGGGCGCGGGCGGTGCAGCGCGTCAGGCTCGCGCAGCTAGCCACACCGCGCGTGCTTTGCCGTCTGGCGCGTCCGTCCTTGTCTGGAGCAATTTCCCGCTTGAAATGACTATTGCCCCGAAGAAGACGTTGCCGCTCACTTTCTGGCCACTTGATCAAGAAGGAATTTCTGCCCTATAAACAGTTGACGCACTGGTCATGCTGTGTGTAAGTAGCTACGACTAGTGATCGAGAATATACACCTACATACTTAACGTACGTACGACTCATGTTGCCGGCTGTTGCACCGCCCACCGCCGAGGCCGGACCTGATCCACCGGTCCATCATCCCGAGGTGGAGATCATCACCATGCGCGTGGTCTCGGCAGCGGAAGATACCACCAGCTTATCGTGTCCAGTACTGCTGCTTCCCACACCATCCTTGGCAAAGGGCATGCACGTGCTGCTCGTCCAGCCCGCCACGGACTCGCCGGCGGCGTCGCTGGTCCCCGCCAGCCGCGGGGACGACGCACCGGCTGTTCAGCAGGCGAGGGATAAGGACGCCCGCAACAGCAAGGCCGCGAGGGAGCTCCGGGGCTGGCTGATGGTCCTGGCCACCGTGATCGCCTCCATCACCTACGCCTCCGGGCTCAACCCGCCCGGTGGCTTCCAAGGCGGGGGCGGGGACAGGGTGACGCCCGTCCTCCGCGCCACGAGCCCCAGGAGGTACACGACCTTCTACTACTGCAACACGGCCGCCTTCGCGCTGTCCCTCTCCATCGTGCTCCTGATGGCCAGCCAGGACCTGCGGAGGCTGGCCAAGATCAAGGTGCTGGAGATCATCGTGGCGCTGGACGTGCTGGCGCTGCTCATGGCCTACATCGTCGGCTCCACGTTCGGGTTGGAAGAGCTGGGTGTTTGCGCCAGGCTGGTGCTCATCGTGCCGGTGGCCCTCGTCATCATGTCGTCTCGCGTCTGTGGGAAATACTTCTGGGACGAACTCTGAATCTCTCTATGATAAGAAATTACTATTATACAGCCATTAGTTAACTTCCATGTGTATGTGCGATTAATTGAGAGATCTGCTTCTAGTACATTGCTCGTGGATGATTTGTGTACCTTCATCTTTTTATTCTTGGACAACATCGATCGGTCGTTGGGCCTCTTTGATTCAAAGAAGTTTCAAATGAATTTCGCAGGATCGCAGTCCTTCACAACATTTCCTATATTGCTTATTTGATTTGTGGAAATCATTCCATAGTAGTGATGTGTCAAGAGATTCCTAGCTAAAACAGGAAAGCTGAAAGTACCGAAGCTTCAAACTCCTTACTATCGTAAGAATCCATACTTCCACCACAAACTTTTTTTTACAGTCCATTAAGACAAATCAGTTCATTTCTTCTGTTCCCATTTCTCTGGTTTGCACATGCACTTCTCTTTTCCCCACATGTTCTTATTTATGTGCAAGAAACATGCAGATCAAAGAGGCTTTGAGATAGTGAATAGGAACATATACAGCCGGCATCCTCAAATCCTCGTCAAACATCCGCGACGCGTCCGGTCAATGACCAGACAACAAAGAGAAGGAAAAAATTGACCTAACTGAACCCCTCATATCATCTTGATATGTCCACATTGTTCGCGAACCCTTATATTAAGGACAAATGTAGGGATAATATGAGGGCTCACGGAAGCGCCCGGCCAGTCCGCCAAGTAGAGTGAGGCCCACCTTCAGTTTTCCTTCTCTATGCTATAAGGAGGATAAATTCAATTTTCCTTCTCTACGCCGCACCTAGCCGAAGTACTAAACCGTACAGAGGAGTAAAGTTGTTACTTTGAGCCGCATCCGAGGAATAGATATACTCGCCCGATTGGGGCTGGAGAAAAAAAATGCTGCCTTGTTGCTCACGGTCACCTCTGCCCCTACCCCTATCTTGCCCGCCGTCGCCCCCCTGCCAGGGAAGTTCCCACCCGTCGACCCCGTCGACCAGCTAAAAGCATAATTGCTCCCTTAGTGGTTTTGGTAATTCATGTCAACATACACATTGTTGGACTAACACCTTTATCTAGTATATTTCTGATAAGTCCAATAGTGGCATGACAAGGACATGAGGATGTGGACCCCTTTAAAATGCTAAGGACATGGATTGACAAAGCTTCAACACTCTGCATTTATGGTTAAGTGATCCAAGATCACATTGAGTCCATAGGAAAGCCAATACTATTAAAATGGGGTGAGGTTTTGATCATGACTCAATTGCTCAAGTGCTTGATGACACTGCTCCAAAAAAAAAAACCAACCACCTTCTCCAATTCATATATGTCCAAACCCTAAATATCCAACTCGGTCCCGCCGAATACATCCAATTCGGATCCACCAAGTTCTTCCTATACACTGCCAGAGCCTAACCCTAGAATTTCGGTCTCACGGAGATTGCGATCGAACTCACCGAGTTGCTGTGGCTAAATTTCTGTAAGCCAATTCGTTCACTTCGGAATCACTGAGTTGAACTGATCGGGACTACCGAAACAAAGTCCTGCCTAGGTTATCACATTTTGGTATGTTCAAGATGTCCACTTTGGAACCATTAGCAACATTATAATGGAATCCATTAGACTTCATAAACTTGCACATTGTAATGATCATAACCTAACTAATTCATTGCCCTAGGTGATTATCACATACATGATGATGATGATATTGAACATGGCTATTATCATGATGTGATAGCCTGGTTTATTAGGGATGATAGACTACTCATATCAATAAGGAATTCCTTCTTTTCCAGGAGCCCATTCGGACAAAACTCCAAAGTTAAGCGTGCTCAGCTTGGAGTAGTTTCAGGATGGGTGACCGACTGGGAAGTTGCTACCGGGTGCGCACGAGTGAGGACAAAGTGCGTAGAAAAGACTAGTATTGATCTATGGAGCCAGTACAGATCCCGCCAGGAGTAACGACCACCGGTGGGTGTGTCCGGGGCGTTACACATGAAGATGAAGAGTTTGACATCGAATATGACAAGACTATGAGAAATCTTAGTGGCAAATCTTCAAGATTACATGGCCAGAGAAAATAATGGATTCTTGATAGTGGATGCACCGATCACATGACCGGAGGTAGAGACATGTTTCGTGAGCTTGCTAAAAATGATGGTCCACGCAACTATGTGAATTTTGGAGACAACTCCAAGGGTAAGGTACTTGGCCTTGATAAGGTGGCCATATCCAATGATAGCTCCATTCAAAATGTTATTCCTGTTGAATCTCTTGGCTACAATCTTCTTTTCGTATATAGACTAGCCAACTTCGGTTCCAATGTTCTATTTACCAAAGTAGATTGCCAAGTGTTTCGTCGAGATAATCATAATATGGTCTTTACCGACATTCGTAGAGGTGACCTATACATTGTTGACTTCACTAAAAGAGTCCAACCTCGTACATGCCTTATTGCAAAATCTTCTAAAGGTCGTGTCATGGTTTTGTCACGACAGATGTTATAGTGTGAGGACTTAGTCGTGAGGCCATTGCAACCTTGCGATTAGCTTGTCGGGGTTGATCGGAATCGAGAGACGCGGATTTACCCAGGTTCGGCCCCTCTCGATCGAGGTAATAGCCTACTTTCTGCTTGTTGCTTATTGCTTTGCGGTCAATTACAAGGGAGTGGATTTCGCTTGACCTAGCTATTGATCGTTTGTAACTTAGTCTATCTGCCTCAGGGACTCACCTTTATATACAAGTCAAGGCCATGGGCTTACAAGAGTCCGGGTCGTACTATGATCTATAACCTAATAGGATCCTAACTTATCTTGCTTCCTAAGTAAGGAAACTCCGAGCAACTTATACTTCTAGGCCTTAAGTCGCCATCTTCAGATACTGGGCCCAAACCTCTGGGCCTCAAGATGAGCGATACTTCTGGGCCTTGAGTCGCCATCTTCGGGTTGGCCTCTCCGCTGCCTCTGCAATCCGTTAGGTTCACTATCTTTCTTTCTTCAGATCTGTATCGGTTCCATTGTAGTTCACCGGAGTTCATCCATACCCCACAGTCATTGCATGTTTAGATCTAATACTTTCCATAAGTTTTTCATCAAAATGCAGCGGCGCTAGTTATAACACCATTTTTGCATCTAGAATCCCTAGTTTTTTCTGTAGAATCCATGAACAGACTAGCCGTCACTATGAAAGTGCAACTATCCCTAGGTGGTTTTGGTAATTCCTAACAACATATAGCTCATTGAACTAATGCTCTTTCAAGATGATCATTTCAGAAAGTTCAGTGATTGGCATGGCAGGGACTAGGAATGTGGACCCCTCAAAATGCTAAGGACACATATTGGCTTAAGCTCAAGACTCTACATTTTCATTTTAGTGATCCAAGATCACATTGAGTCCATAGGAAAAGCCAATACTATTGAAAGGGGATGAGGTGTTGCTTAATGGCTTGCTTGCTCAAAATGCTTAGTGATATGCTCCAAAAGCCCTCAACCAGTTTCTCATATCCACATATGTACCAAACCAAAAGTCAAACTCGGCCCCACCGATTTGATCTATCCGGCGCCACCGAGTTCACTTGACATAGCCAATGCTAGAAACCCTAGTCAGTTTGGTCTCACTGATAGGGATCCCGGTCTCACCGAGATGGGATTGCAAACTCTCGGCTTCCCTTTGTAACGCTTTGGTCTAACCAAGATGAGCGATTGGTCCCACCGAGTTCGCAATGCAAAATCTCTGTTTCCCTTTCGTAACGTTTCGGTCTCAACGAAATGAGCGATTCGGTCCCACTGAGTTTGCCTGACCAACTCTCTGTTTGCCTATTATAGAAATCGGTCTCACCGAGATTACGTTATGCCCTAACCCTAACGAAATCGGTCCCACCGAGTTGACATGTCGGTCCCACCGAAAATCCTAACGTTCACATTTTGAACTAAATCAATCTGACCGAGTTTCATGATTCGGTCCCACCGAGTTTGGTAAATTGTGTGTAACGGTTAGATTTTGTGTGGAGGCTATATATACCCCTCCACCCACTCTTCATTCGTGGAGAGAGCCATCAGAACGTGCCTACACTTCCAGCATATATTCTCTGAGAGAGAACCACCTACTCATGTGTTGAGACCAAGATATTCCAATCCAACCATAAGAATCTTGATCTCTAGCCCCCCCCCCCAGTTGCTTTCCACTCAAATCATCTTTCCACCAAATCCAAATCTGTGAGAGAGAGTTGAGTGTTGGGGAGACTATCATTTGAAGCACAAGAGCAGGGAGTTCATTATCAACGCACCATCTATTACCTTTTGGAGAGTGGTGTCTCCTAGATTGGTTAGGTGTCACTTGGGAGCCTCCGACAAGATTGTGGAGTTGAACCAAGGTGTTTGTAAGGGCAAGGAGATCACCTACTTCATGAAGATCTACCCAAGTGAGGCAAGTCCTTCGTGGGCGATGGCCATGGTGGGATAGACAAGTTTGCTTCTTCATGGACCCTTCGTGGGTGGAGCCCTCTGTGGCTCACGCAAGCATTACCCTTCGTGGGTTGAAGTCTCCATCAACGTGGATGTACGATAGCACCACCTATCGGAACCACACCAAAAATCTCCGTGTCTACATTGCGTTTGCTCCCTCCAAACTCCTCCCTTTACCTTCATATGCAAATGTTTTACATTCCGCTGCTATACTCTTAGACTTGAATGTGTAGGTTGATTGCTTGACTTGTGCTAAGTTGCTAAATCTACCTAGACTTAAAATTTGGAAAAGGCTAGATTTTTATTTGGTCAAGTAGTCTAATCACCCCCTCTAGACATACTTTCGATCCTACAAGTGGTATTAGAGCTTTGGTCTCCATTTGCCTTGATTTCCATTGCTTTGGTGATCATAGCCTTAGGAGAGTATGTCGTCTAGCGAGGGAAATTACCACCATAGAGGTCCTTACTTTGATGGTACTAATTTTGCTAGTTGGAAGCATAAGATGAAAATGCATATTCTTGGACATAACCCCGCCGTTTGGGTTGTTGT